AAGGAGAGAATAAAATGTATTTTTCTAGCTTAGAGCTTGGGATGACTAGGATCCAATGTGACCGCTTAGTCACTACAAAGGAGTACAGTAATAACAAACACTTATTTCCTTTGTTTATGCAACTTACCGAGATTCTAGAGTCACTATAAATAAGGAGTATTGTATTAGTAAATATTACTTTTTCTTTGCAAAGAAAAGGAACAATAAAGAAAAATTAAAGAAGGCTTGATAGGCTAAAAAAAAATAAGTCATTGTTCAAAAAAGACAATAAATCCATTTATAACAGTAAGAGCTTTAGTGGCTAACTATCTAAAGCAGGAAGACCAGCGCTGCTAACTTTTCAATCTGATGAAAGTCACAGGCTTAAAAACTGTCTTGATCACCAATATAGTGAGTGAACCCTAGTCAGAGAGGATGACAGCTTACAGAATCAGCAATGCAAGAAAACATGCCTGGTGGGAAAATGGGCTGATGAAAAGTGAAGATGGTCAGCATATCTGGAGGGAGAATAGGGCTCTAAGATGAGGGGGGAAAAAAAAAAGGTGACAAGTAAGAGTAAACTTGATCGTGGGGGTTTTTTTGGCTGACAAAGCCAACCCAAAGTGAACTGGGTGGGTGTAGCTGCCCAGCTGAGTGAATCCTGAACTTCTGGCCAGCCACTCTGTGCCCCATCACTGGCTCCTCCCACGTAAGGAAGTCTTTGGGCTAACTGGAGTTATTGTGATGGACAGGATGTATGAGAGAAGATGTCATTCAGCACCGGGTATCTTTCCAAAATAGGGACAGGAAAACGAAAAACAGACCAAAACAAACACACAACAAAACCACAAAAGACCAAACAAACGAAAAAATAAAAGCCCTTCTGTGATACAAGTACTAGGCAGTTTGGCCTTCATTGTGACCAAAGTGCAACAGCTTGCCCCGCCAAAAGCTGGCTGCAGCCCCTGCTTCTCAGAAACACATAGAAAATATCTAATTTCTTTCATGTTTTGGCCACAGAGCTGTCTTGGAATTGGAAAATAAGCTGTTAGGCTATAGATAATATTCACATTAACTTCTTTAGAGAGGGGGTTACTTTGTGCTGAACACCAGTTATATGCTGAGTGTAAATATTTGCATTAGCTTTACCTCTGGACGAAAAGCAAAAGTGAAAGTAGCAGTGCAGTAAAAGCAAGGCTCGTAGTTCAGTGCCTTAACACACAAAAAGCTAATGTTAGATTAAGTGCTGGTTAATTGAGAATAGTTCTACTGTGCATTGTTAATCTGTTCATAATTTACAGGCTACTTTTTCCATTTACAAGTGCCTTTTTGTACTTCACCACCTCAGGTGATACTCTCTGTCAGTTTTGCAGTGCCCATTATCTGGCACCTAAGGCATTTCATTAGCATTTAAACGAGACTTAAGTGCCTGAGTAATTCAGAGATAGGTTGTATCTGCATGGCTAGCTGACTACTGCATTTAATTAATTTCCAGACTTCTTCCTTCCTTGTTAAGAGGGAAAAATGCAAGCTCTGTCTAAAATCTGGTGGTGGTAGGAAGAACAGGCAGGCCACAGTTCTAGCTGCTGCTGAGGTTTCTTGCTCAACTTACTATCTCTTATTTCACTATTCAGCTCTAATGAAAAGCTTTTTCTCAAAGAGGAGAATATTTGAAAAGTGACCAAGAATGGAGAGAACTTGAACTAATGAGTAGCCTCTATTTCTGTGCCCTGTCTCTAGAGGCAAAGGAAAACAGATTCATTTGTTATCACGCTGCAGAAAAGTGATGACGGACTTAAAGAGGAGACTGCCAGCTTTGAACTGGGAGTGGCACTGGCCTGGGTGCAGTGGGTGGGGATGGTGCAGATTGCATGAGGACTCCCCACGGGTGAAACCTGCTGTAATGCCAACCAGTGAAAGTCTCCCTGCAAGTTCTTCCTGAGTCATGGTGAGTTAACATAACAGTGTCTTGAGATGCTGCATGTGCAGATAGTTTCGGCAACCTACTCCACCAACAAGAAAAGCTGAAGGCTTTGGGAGAACTGAAGTGGAAAAGGATGCTTTTCACTTAAGTGGCAAAGTGCAAAATCAAGCATGGCCACAGGCTGTGTGCTCCGGTGAGCCGAAAGCAGACTGCTACCCAAGCAATCAGCACAGGGACCCCATGACCTTGGAAATGTCACGTGATTCACAGTTGGGAGAGGGGTCCTGGAGCTTTTTCTACTCTAATAAATAAAACAGCATGCAAGTGACCTAAGGCCCTTGTGACACAATGAAAAATCCCTGTGTTGGGGGAATTTTTACCTCCATGAATTAAAATCATGTGAGACAGTCTGTGCATGTAATGGGATTTTCAGTTTTGCCTGATTAGAGATATGTAATAGAAAAAGAGCAGACTAAAGAAGAAAGATTTCTGAAAGAGTGGTTCAGCTACAGTAGTGTAGGGTTTAGACTCTTTTATTTTTGAGATACTGTTTGAGATGCATTTGTCCTAGTCATGGCAACTTAGAAGACACACAATGAGGTGGGACAATGTTAAAATACCCTTGTTATGGTTGATGTAACTAGAGTTCAGAGGACTGGACAAGACCTGGCTTCATGCACACCCAGGCATCTAGGGCATGTGTCTCCTAACCCAGCATCACCTCCAGTCTGAGGGGTCCCACTCAGGTTAGCCTGTGAAATGTGCACAGCAGGGCCAAACACAGCCTCTCAGCTGGGCAGGTGACAAAGGGAGCAAGGGACAGTGCTTTTGGGCCAGGGGCGAATGGCGGGGCCATCCATTATGAGGACTGTGTGTTGTGTTGGCTGGTGATAAATAGAATTTAAAGCTTCTTCCTGCACTCCTCCCCAGTAAATCCATGCTTGCAGAGGGGACTGAAATCCTTTGAATGGTACTACTAATGGTACTGTTAACCACATGCACATTTTTTTCACAGCCGTTTTTACTTGTAATGATTTCTGATGCATATGAAGTATGGCAGGAACCTCAAGCCTCACCTAGCTGTCAGGTGCAGCTGAACACAACACAGAAGTGCTGTCGCTTCATCTTCGCCCTGTTCCCACTTCTTGCAAAGCGGTGGCCGTGGCTGGCACTGGCAAGCCCAGCAGCATGCTCTCCCAGCCAGCTTGCCCTGCTTCAGGCTTGCAGATTGTCAAATGGTCTGTCTCTGTGTTAAATAAACAGTTGTATAACATAATCTGATCAAGCTTCAGCTTAGAACCTGTTTCAATTCTTGCACTCACTCCTACGGAGAGGCCATGCCAGAAACCTTCCTTTCCTCCTTGCTGGCAGATCCCCTCTAATTTCTGAGCTGAATTTATCCATGGCTACTCTATACCTGTTTGTTCTTGTGCCAGCGTTTTTTGTTAACTCGAACAGCTCTTCTGCCTCGCTGCTGTTCCCCACTTTGATTCACTCAGGAGGCGAGTACATCCCTGTCAGCCCTCACATTACTCCCCATTAAATAAACCAAACTGCCTCTTTCTGCAAGGTCTCCTGTTCTGCTGCAGGCTGACCTAGCAGCTTCCCCCCTCTCTGCCCGGCACAGCAGCCCCTTCCCTCGGAGCAGGAGCTGGAGCGGCACAGGGGGATCAGCCCCTTCCCGCTCGCCCTTGCGTTTCACAGGTGCGCCTTGAGCTACTTGTGTGTAAAGCAAAGCTGAGTGAAAGCGAGCGTTTTACTATCAAAACACCAAACCCCAATAAAAGTGGGGAACGGTGCCCCTGAGCCTTTCCGGCCCCTGCCCCGCTCTGCCGTCCCGTCCCATCCCGTGTCTGCCGGGCAGGGCTGGGCCGGGCCGGGCCAGGGGAGGAGCGGCGGGAGACGGAAGTGAAAACAAGACCGGGGGGACGGAGCTGCCGCCTCCCAGACGAGACGCGCTCCGGGTGTCCTCGCCGCTCCGCGCTGTGCCTCACCGCCGGGTGAGTGACTGCCGGGGGCGGCAGAAAACAGGGTGGGGGGTGGGAAAAGGGGGGATCGAGCAAAAAGTCGGTAGGCTGGACGCGGTTTTTAAAGCTTCACGGTGCTTATTTTCTTTTCATTTTATTTTTGTGAGCGGGGGCGCGCAGTCGGTCGCGGCTGCGGAGCGCCCGGCGGGGATGCCCCGGGGCAGCGCCTCGGGGAGCCCGGGCTGCGGGACACCCGTGGGGCTCCTTACCCTGAGCCGAGCGCGCTGAGGTCCCCGTAGGGCTGCTCGGGCATGGGGCTCTGGTGTGCCCCGGTCGCCGGGCTTTGTGGCACAGGTGGGGCTGCACGCTGGGGTGCCTCTGGAGTGCCTGGAACCGAGACCGAGCGCGCTAGGGTGGGTGGCGTGGGGTGTCTGGTTCCCCCAGCCTGCGGTGGCCCTGGGGCAACTCGTCCCGGCGAGTTGCGCAAAGGGGGTGCCGCGGAGTACAGGAGCTTGTGCTAGCGCTGCCCCTCAGCCCTTCCTCCGGCACAGCTACTTTTCCCGGGAGGGGCCGGAGAGCCCTGCTGGGCACTGCTGCGTCCCTGCTGCTCTGTGTCCTGGCCGGCAGTGGTGCAGGCCGGCGTTTCTGCCTGGATTTTGAAATTCACCCTTCCAGAAGTAGATTAAGCGAACGTTTGATCATCTAAGGGAGAGTTGCACAATTTGACCCTTAGCTGGTGTGTTTTCACAATGCTCCCCACGTGAAGCGGGGTAGGTCGGTTGAAGTGTTTTCTCTTAGCTGTTGCTCTGACATATTTTAGGAAATTAGTTAAATAAAACTTTGAATGGATCTTCTTCGTCTGCCGTTCCTTCCTGGTGTATCTGTAAGCCTAGAGATGCAGACATGTCAGAATTAAGGGGATGAGAAGGGAAAAATGAGTGATGCTGAGAGTGATGGACGGTATTTCAGCATGCAGTCTCCTATTTCTAGTTGCCACAAATGCAAAAGAACAGTATCCTTTCCAATATAATTCAATTTCTTTTCTAGGTCTGTAATTGTAACTAACTGTTACTCAGTTTAAAACAAACAAGCAAACAAACGAGTGCTTTCGTTTCAGCTGACAAGTAAAGCCTTCTGACTGTGCCGAACAACTGCATGTGTGCTGGTCACTAGATGTGGTTTGCTTTTCTGCAGTCTCATAGTTTACAGTGACCTGTCACTGCAGTGGATTTCATTTAAAGGTAGTGAAAAGTATTTGTATTCTTATGCAGAAAGAAATCTGTGACTAATTTAAATCCTCTTTTTATAGTAGTTCCTTGCACAGGGCAATTAAAAAACTTAGTTCTCACTTTAGTAGTGAGCAAGCCCCCTAAAAATCCTATCTCAAACTTGGTGGGGACTTCTCTTCCTCTTTAGCCACAGGAGAGCTCATTGGTGTGTTGAGTCAGTGCCTGGGGTCAGAGCTATCCTTTTGCTGGATGCCAACTGGCAGGGGCAGGTTGGGAATGGCCCAGGTACACAGGCACCTCTGTTACAAGCTCCAAATTATGCTTCCTAATATGTATCTGGTACTGCCCAATGCCAGCAGCCCTGCTCTGGTTACCTGAGTGGCCGTCGAGGTGAATAAAGTTCACTGTTTGATTTAGAACAAATCAAATTTAGCAGTGTGGATTTCTGCTGCTATTGGAGGTGTACCCAGAAAGGTGTGTTATGGGTGGCTTTCTTGGGGAGTGACATCCCTGTGCCGGCGGGGGCTGCGCGACAGCCCTACTCTCGTGGTCCTTGAGGGTGGGCTGTGTTTGAGAAAAATCCACCACCTAGAAAAAACCGACACAGCTCCCCCCCCCCGCCCTGCAATGTATGAACAGCTAAAACTGGTCTTTGAAGAATTCGGTGGGGTTTGCAGCCAACTCGCTGCTGCTTGACTGAAGGTCCACCTTAAATGTCCCTATACGAGAATGGAATCTGGCTGTGCCCCGGTGTAGTCTTACAGCAGCCCGCCCTGGTGTGCTCCTGCCTGGCTTCAACTATACAAAAATAGACGGCATCCACTACCTAAGATGTCATTGTAACATCGCTTATCTGAGGTGAAACTGAAGCCCTTATCTTTTGACGCTGAACAGCAATTAAGTGCCTCGGTTGCCTTTTAAAGGTAATTTGTTGCCCACATTTGTAGAGAGGGAGATGTATGGGTTTTGCTTAGCACTGAGTTGTGGCTGTGGATATTTTGCTTTAGTTCACAGCTTTCATTTGAGGGCTGGTTTTAATATCTGTTTTGTCTGTGACATTGTTCTACCACTTGAAGCTATGCTATAAAAATAAAAAACTCACAGGGATTTTATTTTCTTCTGATTAACTTCAAAGTTGGGATGCTTTGACATTGTTGTATTTAGAAATAAGCTTTGAGCTGATGACATGGCAGCATATGATATTAATTTTGTTAGAAATGAATATGCCAGTAGTGCTAATGCCTTCCATACTTGGGTTTAAGGGATATATCAATTCATGCTTCTCTCAATATTGACTTTTTTTAAAGATGAGCTTTAATGTTGTGTGAGTTTCACCACACACACTGTTTTGTTACTAAGAAGTAGTTGTCAAATATTTTGGCACTGTAAGTTCTCCGAGTCCATATTACCCGTTCCCTAGTTATGTTTCTTTCTAAGCTATGGAGGAAAACATGTGAGGAATAAAAGCACAATGACAGACCTGGTGTAGGGTTTTTGGCTGATTTTGGGGGAGGGGAATACAGCCAAAGAAAGAGAGCTTTCAAAATGGCAAACGGTACCTTTTGTTTTTATCGTCATTAAATTAAAACTCTAATCCTCTTCTGCAGGCATCAGTTCCTTGGATTTGGTCCTTGAATACTAAACATCATGAGCAACTACAGCGTGTCTTTGGTTGGGCCAGCTCCCTGGGGTTTCAGACTTCAAGGGGGCAAGGATTTCAATGTCCCTCTGTCTATTTCTCGAGTAAGTGCATTCACTTCTTTTCCTGCATGTGGGTATCTGTTATGCTGTGGCAAAACCACAACCTTCAGACAAAGCCATTAATTACAGAGACTGGGGCTCAACTTGCCCGGTGGCATGAAGGACTGTTGGGGGTCGGAGGAGGCGTTTGAGCTGGGAAAATAAAACTTTATTGTATAAAGGCTCCAAGAAAATTATCCTAAGAAGGACTGGTTCATTTGAAATGGTTGTTTTATCTACACTTGTTTATGCAACAAACAAAAGAAACTACCCTTGAATTGCCTTCCTTGCTCCCATCCAGAAAACAGAGATGCAGAAGTTGGAGGCTGACAGGAAGCAAGCAATTTACTGTGCTGGGCTGAGGCTGTGGTGTTCAAATGGGAAGCAGTGGGGAAAAAATCACTTTTATTACCCTAGTTTGTTCAGCAGCTCTTAGCTGCTTGAGAATCTTCTGTGTCTGTTGTTACAAATCCTACTCTTTGCAATAAAAAGGTACTTAAATGACAGTAGTTGTAAATAGCAGTTCATCAATATGTGCCTGAGTGAACGTGCCAGTTTCTCATGAGTGTTTTATAGAGTATGTGCTCTGAACTGGTATTCAAAGGATTTGAGGAACTAAGTCAAAACAAATATGATCCTTGTACCCAGGCACTGTCTAACTAGTTTTTTACTTTAAAACTGTGTTTTCAGGGAAGGCTCGTGTTTCAGTGTGGGCTGAGTTTCAAAGCCTTTCTCAGATGGCTGAAGCATTTTGCACGTAAAACGTAGGGACAAACTTTACAGTATTGAGCTTCTTGGATTATTGGAAATCTCTGGGTGAAGAAACTGGCTTCTGATGGCTCTGTACCCTGGTGCCTTTAGATCTAAATTTATGTACAAATGCCCCTTCTCTGTCAACAGCTCTCTTCCTCCTACATATTCGTGTAGTTTAGTGACAAAGATGAATTATTTTTTACACCTGTTGGGACTGCAGAATTGATACTGCTCTGGTAGATGGAGCAGGTTTCTATTTGGGTTTATGCATCATGGCGATATTTTTAGCTAATCTTAACTAGCGATACAAACTCTGCCAGTTCATTTAGACTTGGCTTATCCTATCCACCCATGGATTATGTTGGTGAGGATAAAATACAGTTTGGCTCTGCAAAATTCTTTTTATATGGCTAAAGTGGACTGGAGAGCTGCAGAAATGCCTCTGTACAGATGAGTACAGTTGATATCTGAGACAAAAAGTGGTTGAGAAGCAGTTTATTCCTGAATTCCAGGGACTTTCAAGCTAAACTGTAACTCGGTTTCTTGTTGAGTAGGTGTTACTCGTACACTAATGAGAAATTTGAACTGGGCATGCAGATAGCTCTCTTCTGATTTGATGGTAGAAGGGCATTCATGACAAAGATTTGCAAAAGCATAGGATCTTGTCTGCACCGGGTCCTTGTGTGTGATGCTGACTAGAAATTAAGCACTACAGGCAGTAAGCCATACTAAACAACCAGTTTCAGGAAAGAATAATACTTTTTTGTAGAGGCCTCTGTTGTTCTGGAGATCTAGAGTGCAGTCCTGCTGTAAGCAGACTTCCCATCTAAAAGAGGAAACATATGTTGAAATTAGCCTAGACTACAACTTTATTGCAGGAATCAAATATGCTGTTGCATGCAGTAGCCTGGGGGAATTGGCCTAAATAGCTACCTATAAAAGCCTCAGTTATGGGATTCCCGAATGACAAATGTCAGTGCCCACAAGAGCAGAACATAATGAAAGATGGGGACCAGTGTGGTTTTGGAACTTTAATTTGTGCACGGGTGGGGGAAGCACAATATCCAATTCACTTACTATACCTCAGCACTGCTCCTCAGGTGAGCTGTTTCTTCCTACTCGCAGTAAAGCGTATGTAAGTATTAGACTGCCTGGTGCCTTTTTTTTTTTTTTTTTTTTAACCCCCCTACTTTGGATCAAAAAAATGCTTACTTCTGGCATGCCAGTCCAGCTTTGGCCCGATAGCTGGAAGAATTCAACACCATGTTCCTGGTATGCTAGAACAGTGTGTACAATTCACCCCCCCCCCAAGCCCTTCTTTTCCTGATGTAGCATAAATTCCTTCCTGTATCCGAAGGCTGCTAATTGAATTATTTTAGCAAAACAGTAATGAGGCAGCAGAATTATGTTCCTTGGCAAAGAGGACTATTTGGTTTTGTTTTGTTTTTAATTTGTCCTCTAGATGCTGAAGATGAATCTGGCTGGGTTACTGAGGGCTAATTTCCTGCTTTAGTTTAAACTTTTGAAATTAAGTTTAAATAAAGTATAGTTTATGAAGCACAGATAATACACTGGTTTCTAAAGCTGTTTATCTGAAAAGTTAATCTCTTCCCTGATGATTTGAACAAATTAAGATCTCATGGTTCCTTGGAGAAAGTTTTTAGTAACATATTCGACTTTGTACAGAATGCAGTTTAAATGGGCGCATTCCTTGTTCCCTCTGTAAAGAAAAAGGAGCCTGTGCTCTCAGATGAAATTCTTATGGTTAGCTAATGTGTGACAGGGTAACAGTAGTGCAAGGGTAGCAGTAACATTTGATTTTTCATAAGCTAGTATATTGCAGACTAGTTGCAACATCATAACCAATAGCAGCAGTTATTGCAGGGCTATGTCAGCTAGAGCTCTCTGCCTGCTTTAAAGTTATCTGTATACTTTAACAGCTGTGCACATTTCACGGGAAGGGATACATGTGATGTTGAGGATATAGCCTTATAGTTAGTACAGTTTTATCAGTATAAGTGTATACTATATATACACACAGTTACATGTACATATATGAAGTATATACAATTAGTCTGTATATATGAGTACAACACAAATGGAGGTGATACTTGTTATGTATCTGGCTGGACTTCAACAGGGTGAAGCAGTATGGGAGCAGTGATGGGAGCGTGATGGATGGTATGGCTCTCGTGAAAGAAGGGCTGGAGGGAAGGAAATTGCTCTGAAAGTAATCAGGAATAAAGGGTAGGCTAAGGTTTATTAACAGTCAAGCGTTAAAGTGTCTCAGGCCACTGCAAGTGACTGTTACTGTAGGGCTTCCAGGTAGTTAATTCTGAGGTGGTACTTGTATAAGGAGAGATTGCAAACTGTGAGCATTTAGCTCACAGTGAAGAAGGTAGAAATTACTAGAGCCAAGGTACACAAACTTAGATTATTCTGAGTTGCTGCTCTCACTTTTTCCACATGGTGGTTTGTGTTAAAGAAGCAACTGTTCTCCTCATTCCTTCAAGACCTATGCTGTGATACAAAAACAAAAAAAAAAGGAAAACTAGAGCAGATAAGAACAAATTGCTGACATGCAAGGTTTATGATTTGCTAGCTGTAAAATAACCATTATAGGAAATGATTAAGATTCAGACTTTTTCCCTGTAATATATGTAGTCATGTGAAATGACATTTGTCATAATGCAGTTGTTGTCACATGAATGAATGGATTGCTTCTGAATAACACAGATGGCTGAAAAGTCAGCTACTTAATAGACATCTTCACCTCTATCTGGTAGATTTGAGACGTATTGTCCCAACACTGAGTGTTGACTACACTGCAAGAATTACATCATGGGTCCTTCTTGTTTCTCAATTATTTTCAAACAAAATTTATTTCCAAGTTTCAGGATATTCTGCTAAACATCAGATGAGTCAAAAAAAGACTTCTGGTCATGATTGCCAATAACAGTGGATCTGGTGATATCCATGTAGATTTGTGGTCTGGGATAAATCCCACTGACATGGAATATGTTCAGTTTGGGACTAATGTTGGTCTACACTTTGCCTCCTAGATTTGTTTGCACAAGAGTCTATTCTCATTCAGTAGAAAAAAAAAAAAAGAAATGCAGTTTTGGAAATAAGGTACTCCATACATACTACTAGGTAGGATTCTTGGAGTAGCTCTTGGGCTTGCTAAACATTGTATTTACAGAATTTGGGGTCTATGGTATCTACAACATGATCTGTGTTATTTAGGTGCAATGCAGTAGCTTTTAAAACTATCCACACTTCATTATAGTTTGGATTAACATTATGGTTGCTTTAATTTGTTGGGACTTGGTTAGTTCTCAATGCTTAATTAACATAACCAGAATAAACTTAGTAAGCATGACTAGCGTTAGAATTGTCAAAACTGCTGTCCTCTGAATATTGAAATAAATAGTTTGGTACTGGTGATGTATTCATTATGTTGGGATGATCTGTGAGAGGTTTGGATATTTGTTCCAAATGTGTCCTTGATATGTTTGTAGCTTATCAAAATTTTTGTGGTATAGTCTCTAAATGGTGCTCCTCTCTGTTTTATGGCAAAGTTTACCACTAGAAACAAGGAAATACTAAAACAAAGCTATATTTTGAACAGTAATGTAGCCTATATGCAGTATATATTCCCACCTAATGCAAATACCTAGGATTTTTTCTTGTATTTTAAAGTTACTTTCTTGTTGAATCTTCTAGCTATTCTCCTTCAAAACAGGCAACTCTAGCTATTGTCCTTCAGAAGGTGTTTCTCTATTTGTCTTTCTCCTCCTGTAGGAATTAAATGGAATATGGTCATGTTGAAATGCTTGGCCTGACTGACAGCTCAGTTTTTCTACTGCAACTTCTTTCAGTGTGGTCCCCACCCCCACCACTTCTTTCTGCTTCACTGGTCATTTGCTTCCTCAAAAAACCCAAAACAAACAACCACTACTCTCCCCCTTAGAAATAACCCCTTATTTTTGCATGCTTTCAATTTTCATTATTTCAGGTACGTTTTTCTGTGTTGAAGTTGCAATCTTATAGTTGATGGAAGACTCATAATAAATCTGTCAGCAAGCAGCACACCCATGGAGTAGGTGGAAGAGCAGCCCACCTTGAGATGAAGTAGGAATATAAGTATAACACATCAGCTGCTCAATATTCATCCCACATGAGCTTGCTGACATTCTTTATGCTGGTGTCAGGAGGTCACTAGCAGAGGAGTTGTCTCCTCTGCTTTC